TACTTGAGATAAGGATAGCTATACAGAGAGTTTACTCGCATTGCTTTCCTGTACATGTGTGTTACATTCTAAATTAATTCTTCTCGAACTAACCTTTTCTCAAGTTCCTGGTCCCCTTCTCCTATTGGCCTCTGTCGCTTTAAAGTTTCTGCATTAGTTCCTTTGCATTGAGGACATCAAATGCTATCTTGTTAGGTTTTTTTTTTTGGGGGGGGGGTTCTTGCCTATCCTCATACCTCCCTTGTGTGCTCTCGCCTCATCATGTGATCAAAGTCCAATCCCCTTGTTGTGTTTGCCCTTGATCTAAAGTCTGCATATAAGTGAAAACATACCTGTGAGCACTTTTTAAAATACTAATTTGCCTGGGTTTTCTCATGATAAAAAGGATACTTAGTCACAGTACCTTACCAATATTTGATCTCTATTGTGAAACACAGTAAGTAAAACCAGGATAGGATTGTAAATAACTTTAAACCACAACTGCACAAATTTCAATGACCAAACACATGAAATAAGTAACATAAGCAAGCATCTAAATGACTGACTTGTCTTAATTCTGAATGTACTTTCTGCTTTCTCAGATTTTAATTACCTTGGGATTTTCAAACATCAATGTAAAAATAGTGACATATTTCTAAAGCCAAGAGTGTTCTGCATATAAAGAGACATTTGTTGTTTTATTTTTGAAGAAAACTGTAATTCTAAAAGCAAAATGTAAAAAATTTTGAGTAGAGAATACTTACTAATCTGAAGAATCCCTGTAAAAGCTAAAACTAATGGTACTAGGATGATGTGGTGGACATAATCCTAAATGGAGCCTAGTAGTCCTGACTTGAAGGACTCAACTCAGCTTCTCAGAAGGATCATAACCAGAGGCAAGCCCAGGCAAAAAGTTAGCAAGACTTCTATCTCAATCAACAAATCCAATCTGATGTGGTGGTATACTCCTATAATATCAGCTCCAAGGGAGGTATAGGCAGGCCAAGACCAGCCCCAGGCAATAACAGGAAACCCAATCCAAAAAATAACTAAAGCTACAGAGGAGAAAAAAAAAAAAAAAAAAACCCACAGGCCAGGCGCATGGCTCAGGTGACAGAGCACCTTGTCCAGAAAGTGTTGAGGCCTTGAGTTCAAACCTCAATACTGCAAAAAAAAAAAAAAAAAAAAAAAAATAGATCCAATAAACACTCTGTAGTAGCTTTATGGCTCTATTCAGAACAAAGAAATTGTTGACATTTTATAATCTTGTGATCTGTTTCACTATAATTCAGATAACTTCTTTTACATAGAAAATATATGTATGAGTTCTAGATTAATATACTGGATGCATTCTTGTGATAAGCAATGACTTCCATACAGGCTACCTAAATAACAGTACTTTTTCTTTGCTTTTTTTTTTTTTTATAGAACCAATTGCTACTTAGCATCCATAAAGTTACAGAAACAACAATCACAGAAAACATCACCCAATATCAAATTCCTTTTTCAAAAATATACAAAACGTGAAAGGAAGTAAGTGATCAGAAAGGCAGCCACTGATTATTGAAAATTGAGGACTCTATTCACTAATCTCAAGGCTAGCTATAATTCTTAATTATATCTGACCAAAGCACACAGCCATAGCTGAAAGCCATTTGTGGCTTCAATTCAACTTAAAGTCTTAAGCACAACAAACCCTTACATCCTGGGACCTAGACAGAGATGCTTTCCCTTCAAAAGTAGATTCTAAGTGTTGTGTTTTCCACTGTATTGTTTTTATTATGCAAACCACTATGTCCTATTTTGTATTGTGAGCATCTGCTTCTAGGTGAATCTCTCAGGGTTTAGGACTCTACCTGACTTTAAATGTGGAAATACACTCTGAAATACAGATACAGTCAGTGATTCTCAAATGGGAAATGGTAGCATCTTTGTAGAGGGTATCCCCAAATAGATGGAGGTGTTTTTTCTTTTGTTTTGTTTTCTAATTGTCACTGGGGGAACTGACTGACATTTAGAGACCAAAGGCTGCTAAACAAAGTGCAATTTACAGGGCAGCTTTACATACTACTTATCCCCCACAAAACGTCATCCTATACTTGCTCCATCAGGAAATAAACCAGATTCACCCCTCTCTTCCTATGGATGCAAGATAGCAAATTCTTCCTAATAATTTTCTCCATGTTGTACACAACACTGGTTCAGGTACATCCAGCTGCTACTTTAACCCTGTGTCTCCTCTAGTTCTCCAAGTAATTATTGTGCTGCCTGAGATTAGGGCATAGGCTTCCTTTCCGAATTCTCTCTGGGATAATAAAAATAATTTAAGTGGTATATGGAAAAGAAAAGCCGCCCACTACCTGAATGTTCTGTATCTAGCAATAATGCTATGGATTTATGCTGCATTTCAGGAACTCAACTGAAAAATTATTGTTAAAAGGCATTTTTCTTGATAAATGAACAAATATTGAAAACAATATAATACATAGCTCTACTTTTTAAGAATCACAATTAGTTGCACTTAGATAAGGATAATCCTAAAGCTAAAAACCAATCAAAACTTTCTCAAGCCATATTAAACATGAAAAATGACTATGAAATCATTTCTTCAAAAAGATCTCTGAAAGTTTTTCTAAATTGTTGGAATTAAGCACGAACAAAGCATATCATACATCCAAATTTAAAAGTATGGAAAAAATAATTTCTCAGAGGTTACTATTTATAAATTCTTAAACACAATTCCAATGTCAGGGCCAGTGCTATTGAATGCAAACAGCAGTAATACTTAGGCCTTTAAATGTCTCCTATTTTCACGCAGAACTTAATTTTTTTTTTTTTCAGATTAACAGTCTTTAAGAGACTGACTACTTTTTTTTTTTTTTTTTAAGAAAGTAATGTTTTCAAAAGCCAGAATACACATTTGGGGGGATGGGCAGCACAGGGGTTTGAACTCAAGACCACACGCTTGCTAGGCAGGTGCTCTACCAGTTGAGCCATGCCTCCAGTCAACACAGGCTACTATTAATAAGGAGATGGGCCTAGACTATTTAGAAATATGACTCTGGTTTTAAAATTCACCCATCATTCCAGTAATCTGCAGACAATCCACCAAAAGAGGTGGGGCCAAAGGCAAAGTTACTTCTTTTACTAATGGTCTACCCTGAGCTGTCTAAAACTATTCAGAGAAGCCAACATTTAAAAAACACAAATATGTGAACAAGGAAACTAAATAGTGCCTTGTATCAAGGAGTTCAGAAAATTGTTCCTTTAATTCCTTCTCTCCACTAAATTCACAAATTAAACAGTGTCTTTCACTCTGATTCTTGAGGAGAAAATCCCCAATTTCTCTCTTAAGACTACTTGGCTTGACCCTGGATTAAAATTTAAGCCTTGCAACAGAGGCCTTGACTAAATTTTTTGAAAAAGCATAATCACTTTAAGTGACTACATCTTAGTAGTAGTAGTGATAATCATACAGCCTGGATTAACTCTCCTAATTGCCTTATTTGCATTATCTTATTTATTCTTCCTATCGGTCTTGATATGGCATTACTAACTCCATCTTACAGTTGAGAAAACTTAACTTGAGGGCATTAAAGAAAATTAAAGAACTTATTCAGGAATATTCAGTTAATAAGGAGAAGTTGAGCCTAGATATAACTGATGCCAAAGTCCAAATGCTTACATTTTACAATACTGTATCTTGAAGTAAAAAGTACGCCTGAGTTTTATTTCTTTATCAGATCTAAAGAAAAGGCATATATCTCATATAGCCATCCATTAGTTCCCCTGCAAAGGACTTGTAACATCTCAGACTTTGGTGGCCTATGTATCCTCTAAATTAGAAAGACAATGTTTTAAGAAGTAGACCCTGTATTAAATCAATAAACCTCACATTATTAATGTATGATAAATCAAAAATAATTTTAAATCACTCTAGACAATGAAAGTCTTCAATTAAGCAATGTCCAATCAGTCAGTAATAAAAATTCTAAATATGGTCCCATGGATAAATACTGATAATATTTCTCTCATTTTCCCCAACAGTACTCTGTGGTTATACAGTAATAGTAAAAACAGCTACTACTTATTGACTGCTTCACTTTGTGCCAGATGCTTCACACATATTATCACTAATATAGAAGGTGGTAGCCCTATTTTACATATGAGGAAACTAAGGTTCAGAAAAAGACCTGGCAAATACAGCTGAAAACACAGCAGAGCTGCTAAATATGAACCCAGATCTGTCAAACTCTTAAACTAGGCTCTTCCTACTGCACCAGGAAGAAATGTTTTGCAACACTCCAAAAGGAGTTTAGGGGAGGGGAGAGAAGGTTTAAATATTGATTCTCCCACAGAGTCATCTCCAACAGATTCTTTCTAAGTAACACAGTATTGGTGTGTATATTTTTGAAATTTTAATTCCTACAAAAACTAGGCTAAAACATTAAAATTAAACAAGGTATCTATTTTCTATGTATCATAAGAATAAAGAGTTTTATACAGTAAACAAATGTACATTATTGTTAATCGATTTGTTATAAGGTCTAAATTAGTAATTGAGATTAATAGTAGTTTTAGAAGTTACTAATGTTGTTTTATACACATCACTAAACATCAAGTAACATCAGAGTATTAACAGGAAAACCCTTAGAATGTTGCCTGCTCCATTCAGTTAAACTTAATACAAAGAGCCACAAAATCTGTGATCGCTTAAATACATCTACATTTTTCAAGGGTTGTCTAAATTCAAAGTAATTTTCTGGGGGAAGAAAAAAAATGCAGTATTTTAAAACTGTGCTATAAACAGAAGCAAAAAAGCTTGATAATAACAAAATATAGTGAAAATAATCATATCAGGCATTTGATGATCATACTGGGGTTTGAACTCAGGGCCTCCAGGGCCTCCCTTGAGTCATGCCCCCAGGCCCTGAGCATGGCAGCATTCTAAGAGTCAGCAGCTACTAAAGCCCCATCTATTAGTTAGGGGTGATGATAGAGAAGGGGCAAGAGTACAGTACCTGATGATGGGCTGGTCGAGGCCCCGCTGCAAACTGAGAAAGGGAGGGAAAACAAACACAAAAGGAAAGGCACAAAGAGTCAGAAACACCACAACAAAAAACAAAATGTCACACAATATGCCAAAAAAAAAAAAAAACAGGAAAAAAAAGTCAAAGCTTTGCTGCAGGACAGTGACAGACAGGTACTAAAATTCAACAGGTTAACACCACTACCAAGATACTTTGTCATTTATCAGCTGAGAGAGAAACAGCTAAGCTGTTATGCACCAAGTGTGCTCTCTGAGAGAGGCTATTCCGAATAAACAAATAAAACTCTAAAATAAGGCAAAAGAAAGTTTGAAAGTAGTTATATTAAGACAAACATGAAAACTGAGTATGATAATATGTAACTGATACAGATAGAGGACATGAAAAATGCTTTAACATTATAAGAAATAGCCAGGAGATAATTATAATGTCTAGCAGGAAATAAAGACTGTAATAGGACTGTCTGCAAATTTTCTTCAGTTAAACAGGCTCTCTTACATTTGAATTTGAAACTTTAATACCTTCCTTTATTTCTCAGAATGAAAGTATAAATTTTATGAATATCCAGGCATATAAAAGCAAACAGCTAGTGAAGAAAATCAGTCTTTAGGACGATTCATCAAAATGGCGTTATTATAGGCTTGAGAAGAAAAACGTAAGAGGTCAAATTTCTCAGCTGTTACTCAGAGACAAGAGCAAAGCACTGTACCCCTTGTTTACCTAGTATGCACCGCCTGCTGTCTGATACTGAGAATAAAGCAAAGGAAACACAACTCCTCAGCAAAAGAGTACTTCAAAGTGGATGAAATATATTCCAATGCTTCTCACTTAGAATGAAGAAAAAAGTTCCTCATTTAAGAAATTTTTAAATACCAGACCTCCAAAGATCAAGTAATTCATCAGAACAAAACGTGGATTCTAATAGAGTTTAACTAAAAAGAACCAAGGAGAGTATCGGGGCACAAATAGCCATATACTTACTAGCTAACTAATATATAACTATTATGTTAACTTGAAAGCAGTTTGGAACGAAAACCATATATATCGGTATTAGGGATTTTATTTAATATTTAAGGAGCTAATTAAAATATATATCTTCAGCTATTTTTTTTTTGGGGGGGGGGAATGGTGGTATTATGGTTTGGACTCAGGGAGTTGCACCTGTCAGGCTCTTCCATTTGAGCCATGCCCCAGATCTATCTTCAGCTATTTTACTTCCTATGTAGAACATTCCTCTGTAAATCTTACGAATAGATGAGTCAGACTGAAGATTAAATAAGAAACAATTCTTTATGCTCAACATTTAAGTTACGGGCAACAGAAATTTGCAGATTTCAAAAAGTTTTCCAACAGCCATTACCTCGTGATAAATTTCCAACAAACTGCAGTGGAGCACATGGCCACAATGTAAAAAGACTCAGACATCTCTCTCAAGAACTCATTCACCTTATAAGCTAAAATGTCACTGACTGTTTAAGTAATGAAAAGTATCTAGAAGACCTGTATATATGCTTAGGGTGTGTTAAGTCAGCCATCATATTTGGCTAACCACTTTTAGTTTTTCAGAATGAAGATAAACAGCAGCTGCGGTTCTTGCAGAAAATTTTCTCTTCAAAGAAACTGAGGCCCTATATTTTCAGTTTTGCAATTATGAGAAGAAAACAGATCCTATCTTCCACGGACATCAAGTTGCAAGGTTAGGCAATATCACCCATGAGGATCATGGAAGTGAGATGTTTCTTCATGACACTCCTGGAGAAAATGGTTAAAGAATTAACCTGAGTACAGCAGTACCTGTCTTATCACTGTTCCACAGAAAGGTCCGTTTCCAAAGTTCTAATATCAAAGTTGAAACTTTATGTAATTGGAATGTTCCAGCCAAAAGAGAACTTTCTATGAACAAGAGAACTTATCTTATAAAATTACATAGATATGTTAAAAAAAAAAAAAAAAAGGCGGGGCTGGGGGGGGTGGGCGACACACAACTTAAGTTAGTGGGAAAGTATCTTGGGGAAGTACCCTAGTCTATTTTGCACTAGTTACCATTGGCTATTGAGTTTGTAATTTTGAATGACATCGATCTTAATCCTGTTGGGGAGCTGTAAGCAACAGAACAAACTGTAGTCGCTGCTGGCTCATATTGAAAATGGAATTTTTTTTCCTTTTCTTCTTTTTCAAAGTGGTCTTTAAGATGGTGAGGATTATAGATATAAAGAAAGCAGCCTTATGTGAACTTGAATTCAATGTTATTGCTACCCACCCCTCACTTACTCACCCTTCTGTACACAGTTGGTAACTGAGCATGACCAACATAACACCGATGTAACTTTGGCACTTAGCACCACAAAATACAAAAATAACCAATGGTTATAGGTTAGTTCAAAAGCCAAACTGTCCCCCCTCTTCCAATAAAGCTTTCAATAGTCTCACTATTTTTAACAGACTATTTAAAAACAAAATGTCTAAAAGTGTTCCAGGACGAGAAAATGGAACAGATAGGTAACTTATTAGCATTTAAAAAAATATTTAACATGATTTTCCACATCATAAATTTAACTAAGACATTAAATATTACATCAAAATACAGGCACAAAGATATCCTGAAGGAGGGAGGGAGTCATTTGAAGCCACTTGGATTGCAAAGGCAGCTGTCCAGGGAAGAACAGAAAAGCCTAAACTGTGCAATTGCCAATGGCCTATTAATGCAGAAATAGAATGGAGTAAAGCTTTAGCTGCTCTACAAAGCCATGGGTGTGGGCCCTTCCTTAGTACACCTTACCTCTCCTCACATTTGGGACAGCTGTGGGATGGATGAGACTAGACTGTGGGATGTAAACAGAAAATGCAATCCTGCCAAGTTTCATATCCCAATTTTACCCACCCAGCACCAACACAAATAAAATAAAGAATAGTAAACCCAAAACAATACGCAAGAGTAGTCTGGGGTCTGCTAGTCTTGCACTTGTTTTGGGGTCTGTAATGGAATGCTTTATGTGTGGTTTTAGTAATGGGGGTGGTAATGGTCACTAGCAGAGCAGATGGCAAAAATTGTATAAAGGATAGTATCTAGAGTTTATGACCACAGGAAAAAAATGGCTGACAACTACAGACAATTCCCCCTTGATATTCAATCATAAAATGGAAAGGAGGGAAAAGAAGCCTTGCATTATTTTTAAGTTCAAATTTATCTGGAAGGGATATCCCACTTTATGTTTAAAATAAAGAAAAAAATCTACACACCAATTATTCCTGTCTAATTCCCAATAGAGAAGACCCATCCAATTTTTTATTCTTTCCCCCACTGTACTGGACAGAAACTGCCATGCTAGGTTAGACTTTCAGAGAAGAAGCAATCAATGCATTTCTGTTCATCAGCCAGTAAGTGGATGTGGTCAAAAATAATAAGTGCCAGAGGCACTACTGCCTGCAAGAAGTACAGTTTGTTATATTGCTTACAATGCAGTATTTTATCCAGCCTCTTCCAGCCAAGGACCTGTAAACAGGAGTCTGTTCCAAAACCTTCCTCCTCTTCCAGTTGTCTGTGCAATGTATTGGCACTGTTCTGCTGGGCTGTCAAAAAAACTGGTTTAGAGATGCAGCTCTTCAGTCAGGTTTTGCGCCAGTTCTAACGATGTAAATTTAATTCTTCCCCAATAATTAGAAAGGGGCAAGGGATAAGAGGGCTTTAGAATTCTTTGCAATAAGAGCTTACCATAATGTTCCACACTTAATGATTAGAATCAGGGCCTATCTAAATTAACTGGGTAAGATTTCAGGCCCACTCCAAGTGGTCAAGTGTCCACATACCAAAACCACTCTCAGAAAAAAACTTGCATCCAGACATTTTGTTGAACATTTCAGCATAAAAAGAGACAAGCAAATGGGCAACTAGGAATAAAACCCCATGTCTTTAGAATGGTTCCTCCACCCACTGGGGAGAACAAGGATCTGAAAACAGGTATTAGAAAAGAGGGTAACAAGGAAAAGGAAGATGATAAGAAAGGTATTACATATAGGTACAATCTAGGCTCTCCCAGTTCTTTGAGTAAATCTTTGGTACATTTCAACACTTCAAAATTCATGCATAAAACCAAATGAACAATAGCTAATGCAGTGAAGAAGTCCTATACTCTAGGCAAAAAAAAATAAAAATAAAAATAAAACAAACAGGGTTAGGGAACAAAAATAAGATCCCTGTATTCAGAGCTGAAGTACAAATAGGCATGTGAGATACAATGAGAGATGATACAGAAGCACCTCCTAGCAAAAGCTAGTCATGCAGGGCAGTAACGGTAGGTCTAAGGGAAGGACAGCTGAAGCCATTGTGCACACTCTTGTGAAACAGAAGGATGACCTTGAGTAAATTCTCAGTATTTACTGCAGTACTTGTTGCAATCCACATGAAGGATGAACAAAGAGGATGACAGCATTTAAACTGTATGACAATTTATTACCTGAAGAAATTAATATAGCCTTGGTATATGCCATGCATATAATTACACTGTCAAATGGTTACAACTTATCTAGTGATACTGATTCACAAGTATTCCTTTCCAAACCACTGGAATTTGAAGTCCTCATTAGCAAAACTCAACTTGCTTTTAAAAATCCCTTGTACTTTACACTTCTGGATTTTTAACAGTATTACTAACACAATAAGAGGAGAAATAAGTAAACGTAAATACAACTGACTTAATAAAAAAATCTAAGTTCTGAAAATGCAATGCTAACTTGTAATAACAATAACAATAATAATAATGTCATCTTTGAAGCAAAATTCTTAAGTGTAATAAAAATATCTGCCAAAGAACTTAAGTTACTACATACAAAACTGAGGTGGAGAATATTATTTAGAACAAGCTTCTGCTTACTTACCGGAGAACGGGTCTGAGGTTGTGAATTCATTGTCTGAGGGGCTTGAGGGTATACCAATGGGGTTGGACCTGCATTCTGTCCAGAGGGATATGGGGTCTGTCAAAGAACAGCAAGAACAATATCTATTTTTAAAGAATATGGCATGGCAACACAAATTTAAGATATGGGGTTTTTTTTAAAGTTCACAGAAGTGATTATTGATAGTTTATAGTTTTACTTTTTAACTTTATCGCAATATCCAGCAACAAACATAGGCTAGTATAGCATTTTTTAGAAACTACTGTAATCCTCTTGATGAAGAAACATCAGCAACCCAAACTCTAGGCACAATTATTTAAAACTGTAAGTGCAGGGAGCTATTAATTCACTGTCTACCTAGGCAGCTACGTAGACATGATCAGAAATGAGGAAATGCCCCCAATCACAGACTTCATTCCCTTATTTATGAAGCCAGAATCATAAAAGTCCACAGGGCCCAACACCCTGGACCTATATCCTTCTTATCAGGGGCACTTTCCATTATCAAGGCTGCACATGCATCTTGAGGTGCGTAATGACCACATGACCTTCTACTAGCAGGCTAGAGCAGCAAGGGCAAAGAGGATCAAATGTAGTGCACCTGCCTTCACTTTCTCAAAGACGAAGGCATATGACTTCCCACATGGGAGCAGCCACCAAATCATTTCAGGGGGACCACAGAAGAGGGTCCAAATTTCACACCACCTAGTAACCCCTGCCCACGATTGGATAAATTAAAACCTCAAGCCCCCACAATGTTGTGGCAATTGATCCTGGTATAAACTGTCTGCCTCACATCTTGAGATATACTTTTGCTTTGCAAATAAACCATTCCTTGCTACTTTCTACATTTTGTGGTTTTTCTGTTGCCCCTGGAACAATATTTTAATCTTAAATGATGCACCCAAAAAACTAAGAAACAGCTCATGCACCAGGAACATATCAATTTGTGAAATGGTCATCTCAAGTCACAAACAAAATCAAACATAATTGTGAGGACTAATTACTGTTTGTTGAAGTGTGCTATAAGCAAAGTACCTATAAACAAAGGCAGCGCTTGAGAAAGACATCTCATAGCCACAAGTAGCAGCTTGCACAGTTAGTTCTAGTAATGCTGTTCTCTTGCCAAGGTTTACACCTTAATACTTTCACATGATTCCAGAAAAATCAACAGTCAGTAAGAGCCAAGATTAAATGATAATATAATACATAGGCTAACTTACCATTAGGTTTTCTGAAAATAAAAACAAAGTATTCATTTTGAATCCATGTTAAAAGCTAGTAGCTTTTGGTGCCTGTTGACCATTTAATGAAAGTTCAGATGGGATCACCAATTTTTAAGAACATGTTTTTGAAAAGATTCATCACAACATTCAAATAATGAAAACAAAAAACAGTTTCCTATTATTCACAGAGGCTTTTTACAATCTTTCAACATGGTAATCTATTACATAGCCATTTCTACATCTCTTAAGAAGGATCAACATCGAGTGATTTCTTTTATTACTCTAATTCTATTAAATCTGGCAATAAAGTGATTAACATAGCAGTTAGTATTTCATGTTTATTACTATAAACAAGAACAGCTCATTAAACAAAGGATACAACCTTGTGTACAGTAAACTCACAAAGTACGTGGATGGCTTAAAAGTAGTCTTCAATTAGGAAAGTGTTTGAGCTCAATAATCTCAATCACTCAATTTCAAAGTTGCATTTCAACTCCTAATTCTTCAACTGCATCAATCTATTACTTAAACCAAAGCAATACTGTTGCTATTAGTAACAGGATTTTCTCCTTGCATGAGTTTTTATCAGATTGAATTCTGATATAATTGAACCAAACATAAATCAAAATTGTTCAGCTTCTTTCTCACCAAAGGCTATTTCCAGTATTAGCACACTCAAACACTGAAAGGCTTGTCTATTTTAAAAAGTTGTATATTAGGGCTGGCAGAGTGGCTCAAGTGGTAGAGCCCAGTACCAGCAGGGCACGGGTGGCTCACACCTATAATCCTAGCTACTCAGGAGACAGAGATCAGGAGGATCTCAGTTCAAAGCCAGCCCAGGCAAATAGTTCGGGAAGACCCTATCTCGAAAATACCAGGGCTGGCGGAACGGCTCAAGTGTGAAGGCCCTGAGTTAAACCCCCAATATCGCCAAAAAACCCTCAAAACCCCAGTACCACCAAAAAAGTTATATGTGAATTTTTAAAATTAATTATTTCTGGATTTAGATTAAATATATATATATAAATATTTAATATTCATATATAAATTTATAAATATTTAATATATATTTACATACATATATTTCTTCAAACTCTATTACAGCATTTGAATATATTTTTCAAGTATAACACCAACTTTAATATTCATTAAATAAAACCATCAAATGTTCAGAAAGTCATTTCTTAGTGATGATTTTTGTGGGGGGGGTGAAGGGGCGGGGTTAAGCTGGGGACTGAATCCAGGTAAGCTCTCTACCACTTGAGCATACTTTAAGTCTTTGAGACAAGTTCTCACTAACTTTGCTGGGCTAGCCTGGTGATAATTATGCCTCTGGCTCCTGAGTTGCTGGGATAACAGGTGTGCTTATCGAGCGATATTTTCTTTGATCTTATCATGTATGTACACTTTCTTCTCAACATCCAATTGGTATTTATTTGTTTGTTATATTTTGGGTTTTTTTGAGACAGGGTCTGGTTGGTTATATAGCCAAAGCTGGACTCAAACTTATAATCCTCCTGCCTCTGCCTCCCAAGTGCTGGGATTAGAGGAATAACACCCCATCTGGTAAAAATTTAATTTGCATTAAAATATTTCCTTAGAAGTACGCATGCATACATTTATATTTATTGTAGATATAAATATATATGCATATATAAGTAGGTATGTCAATTCATATTAAGAATGAACAAATGTTGACACTTAAATCTGGACAGTGAAACAAAGGCAAGAGCAACACACTGAACATGTTGCCATTCACAGTGCTTCTGGACACTCTGAGCCTCTTGAATGCTTTTCCTAAGCTCCATACTATCAATGCAAATAGAGCTCTGTGTAATGATTATAAATGAACTCTATGTACACTGTCTATAGCAACTGAATACTTTTTTGTTTTTGCAGTTTGAGGGTTGAACTCAGGACCTACACTTTGAGCCACTCCACCAGACCTTTTTGTGTTAGGTATTTTCAAGATAGGATCTTGTAAACTATTTGCCCATACTGACTTTGAACGATGTGCAATCCTCCTCCCCTCTGCCTCCTATAGCTAGGATTACAGGCGTGAGCCACCAACATCCAGCACTACTGAATATTTGAAAGTGGCTAATGCAACTGACAAAATGAATTTACACTTTTACTGAAACCAATTTTTGTTGGTGTGGTGATTGGGATCAAACTCAGGGCCTTACTCATGCTAGGTAAGCACTCTACCTTTGAGCTATATCCCAAATTTCCTTCTTCATTGAAATTTATTCAATTAAGTTTTTTTGTGTATGGCAGGAAACAGTAACATTTACAATCTTAACTATTTTAGTGTATGGTTCTGTACTGTTAACTATATGCAGTATGCAACAGATCATCCAGAATTTTCTCATCTTGTAAAAGTAAAACTCTCTGATTGTATTTACTAACCACTGACTCAATTTAAGTTTTATTTATATAAACTTTAATTACTTAGAATTTAAATTTAGTCCCATATAGCCAGTGGCTACCATACTGTATAGCATAGGTATAGAAAGCTCTTAATTGCAAAACTTTATTCTTCTAATGTCATTACACCACTACAAAGAGAACTATCATTGAACCTGCTATATAGTCTTAAGCATGTGACTTGTCTTCCTCAACAAATGAAGACTGAAGCTTTAAGCCACGTATTCTCAAAGTGTGGATCACTGAGCCCTGGCTTCTAAGTGACTCTAGTATAAGGTCGGAGAGGTAGAATACTTTTTAATATTAAAATGTAATTTGCATATGTTGACATTTGCACAAATGACAGGAATGCAAGGGAGGTAAAACTACAAGTACCTTAATAAACATCAAGGCAACAATAGTCACTGTATTCTTCACCTCCACACCTTCACTATGCAGTCACATATTAAAGCGACAAAGAAAAGCAAAAAAAGGCAGTATTTAACAATGTCACTTAATAGTAAAAGTTTCTGGGTTTTATCTTTGGTTCTTCTTAAATACAATTTTAAATAGAATACACAGAGATCCCTAATGGCAATATCTTTGTATAACTATAGTACAGTATCACAGCAAAAAATAAAGTAAAATAAAGATAAAACATTTCTACAACCCACTGACTTTAATTTTTCCAGTTACAAATGTACATATATTTGTATTTAGTTCTATGCAATTTTATAACATTATATAGACGCACATAACCACCAGTCAAAATACAAGGAAGTTCCTTCAAAGAATTCCATAATACCCTGCCCTATAACAATCACAAGCACCTCCTTCTTCCCTCACTCCTTTCTCCTACTCCCATGCTGGAACTCCAGGCAAATATGTTCTCCACCTCTAAAATTTGATCCTGACACCATCCTATAGAAAGAGGAAAAAGGAGAAAGCCAGACAGCATAGTCCTTCTCTTTTTCTGGTTCCTGTCCACTATGAGGTAAAGAGTCTCCATCTCATGCTCCCCCCACCATGATGTTTTGTTTCACCGCAGACCCAGAATCAACACAGCCACGGACTATGGGCTAAAACCTCTGAAACTATGAGTCAAAACAAAATAATAATTCCTTTCCTTTTTCTGGGGGGAGGGGTGGGTAACTGGGGCTTGAACTCAAAGCCTACAACTTGAGCCACTCCACCAATCCTTTTCTGTGATGGGTTTTTTCGAGATAGGGTCTCATTAACTATTTGCCTAAGGTGGCTATGCAAACCTTGATCATTCTGATCTCTGCCTCCTGAGAAGCTAGGATTACAGGTGTGAGGCACTGATACCCAGAATAATTCCCTTCTTAAATTGTTTTTGTGAGGTATTTTGTCACAATGACAAAAACTAATATAGTATGTGAACAAATAAGAAGATATGAAAGAATTGTGCTGTATACTGAGGTACCA